GGATTTGTCCTAGGGAAAGTTTAGTATGTAGAGAAAGTGTGCTTCCATCCGTGAGATGATTGTGTATATGGAGATATTTATCCAGTGGTTCCAATCTGTCAAGGTCACAGCTTTATATCTGATTTAGTTGATTTCTATACACATACAGATTTAATATACTTTTTGTAACATTCCATAGATTTATTTATTAGTGTGATGCTTTTCTGTTTTTATTCTGCCCTTATAACTCAACCCCTGTAGCGAAAATGATTAAACAAGCAGTTTCACCCTTTATAAATATGATTAGACTTTATGTCTGATGCTATTTGTTAATGCATTAGTTTCAGGGTTTATTATTCTAAATTTTGTAAAGGCAAAAAGAAAACATTCTTGCCCTGGCTGATGTAGCTCAGTGGATTGAGCACGTGCCTGTGAACCAAAGGGCTGCCTGTTTGATTTCCCATCAGGGCACATGCCTGGGTTGCCGGCCAGGTCCCCCATGGGGGGCACATGAGAGGCAACCACACACTGATGTTTCTCTCCCTCTCTCTATCCCTTCCCTCTCTCTATAAATAAATAAATAAATAAATAAATAAATAAATAAATAAATAAAATCTTTTAAAAAATAAATTTTGTAAAGGCATTTGCTGAATTGAGTAAAATTTAAAGTACGGTAAAATCTAAAGGCATTTCAGTTCTTTCTACTTAATTGATCTCTGAAAATACTATTAAACTATGAAAAATAAAAGACTCCATTTTTTAAAAAAATGCAAGTGACAAATAAGTTATCAAATGAGATTCTATGTAACCAATTTTTTTTTGTAAGAATAAAGTTCTCCATAGTTACAGCAAGGGCTTCTTTGGAAAAGCAGATATTCTTAGTCATTCAGCAATCAGAGTACTTGATAATCATGACTTGCTGAGTGTCGGGTCTGACTCTGGGCACACATATGAACAGGGCAGATGAGTCATGATCTGCACACTTCAGGTGCTCTACAGTATAATTGTAGAGTTGACACCTATACGAAACAACTGTATTACAAGGCAGTGCATGAAGTGTTATAACACTGATAGAATTGAGTATAGTGTGAGTTTCAATAAGTGAAGATTGCCAGATCATCAGTCAAGGATGTCTTCATGGAAAAGATGTCCTTGAAGATTGTTTCACACTGATTATTGTCATTTCCATTTCTAATAGAATTTGGAGAGTAACCAACCAGAACTTAAAACTCCTGGTTTACCAATGCTTTTTCATGTGGTTAACTGAGAATATGACATAATGGATAAGAGTAAAATATCTGCTGCAAAAACTCAGTGCAATCCTCGCTCCTCCAAGAAGCCTTACTCTTTCTCTTTATTCCTAAAGAATTGTCAGCTTGTCATTATCAGAGCATTAATTTGTGGTATCAGTTTCAAATTGTTGCTTTACTTCTCTCTCACTAAAGTTCCTTGAGGCAATGGAACGTGTATATCCCAAACCTAGCATTATTCCTACTGCTATTCTTTACATTATCCCTAATGTCTAAGACTCAATAAATTTTTGTTGAATGAATGGTTGAACTCAAAGATTACATTCAGTATGAGCAAAATGGATGTTTTACAAGGTTGATAACAGTGATGATAGAGATAATTGGATAAACTCAGAATATGTTTTGAGATCCAATTTATAGGATTTATTGAGGGATTTGGATGTGGAGAATGAGGGAGATGGATAAACGAAAGCTTGAAAAATTTGGTAATGCCAGTAATTGAAATACGAGACTGGAAGAAGAATAGCCTGTTTTGCAGATGTTGTTTGAGAAGCCTGCTGCACTTTTGAGTAGAGTTATTAAATGGGCTGTTGCTTGTAAATCTGGAGCTCAAAGAAGAGATCAAGACAAAAATATAAATCAGAAAGTCAGTTGCACATGGATGGTATTTAAGGCTACCTAGCAGGATGAAACTACCTTATGAGAAAGTGTAAGTTAAAGAGAGAAGAGGACCCAGAACAAAACTTGCAGTGCTCCAGCATTTAGTGGTCTGGAAGAGATGGAGAAGCTAAAAAAAAGGAAAAGAAAAAAGAAAAACTGAGGAAGCAGGAGAAAAACCAGAGGGAATTTTCTTAGGGAATTACCAGTTGGGTCATGTGCTGCCTAAGGGATTAGGATGAAAAGTAAGAAGTGGTCATTGCATTTGGCGACATGATAATTGTTGCTGACCTTGATTGTGCAGTCATGGGACCTGGAAACCAAACTGGAATAGGTTCAAGACTGAATAGGAAGCGAGGGAGTAGAAATCTGTAGGAGCTAAATCCTTCCTTGAGTAGACTGTAGGGATAGAAATTGTCAGATTATTTCATCAAGTTCCAAAATGAACTCATGATGCACTTGCCCTCCAAAGTCTGCTCTTCTTCCTGAGTTTTCTATTATTCATGAATTCACCTTCCTTCCAATGATCCAGACCAGACTCCCCATGGTTAATGTAGTCATTTCCTTCCTCCACTTATCCCCTTGTAATTAGTTGCCAGGGACTGTTGCATCTTCACAGTATTTTTTGAATTGGACTCCTTTTCATTGCCACTGTCACTGTTACTGAAGTTGCTCTTGCCAGGCCCTAATTAGCTCTTCTTCAAACTCCTCTAATAGTTTCCAAAGTACTCCCTGCTTTTATCCTCTCCCTTGTCAATACATCTGTCCATCACAGCTAGAATGTACTTCTTAAAACACAGTTTTGCTCATGTTATTCTGTGAAAACTAAAACCGGACCCTTTTAAGGCCTGGCAGTCAGACCCTCTTCCTATTTCAACCTTGTCTCCCACGACCTCCTCTTCATTCAGTCCACTCTTCTGAAGTATTTGCTGTTTCTTTTTTTTTTTAATATGTTTTATTGATTTTGCTATTATAGTGGTCCCAATTCTCCCCCTTTGCCCCCCTCTTCCTGGTACCCCATATCCCTCCACCATTCCCCTCCCTTAGTTCATATCCATGGGTCATGCATATAAGTTCTTTGGCTTCTCCATTTCCTGTACTGTTTCTTAAATATAACCAACATTGTTTGGCCTCCATACCTTCAGTTTCACCTCTACTTGCATGCCATCCCCTCCCTTCTGTTACCTCTCCTGTATTTCCAAATGCTTACTACCTTTATCGAATGGGAAATCTTCCCTAAATATTAGGAAATTTCAAGGCTTTCAGTGCTACTGCTTTACTTTATCAGTTCTTTAAAGATTTTATAATACTGATTTTTACTTTAAACCATAGTTATCTGTACCACCACTACCTCAAACAATCTTCATTTTCAGGAACTGGGGAAGTTTCTTGTAAATTTCCAAAGAATTGTGGGTAATAATTTCTGTAAATAGAGGATGTCTAGGAAGAGTCCTCTGCTACACTTCTTTTCTCAGTAGCTATTGATTTTGATGAGGCAGCCAGAAGGTGGAAAGGTGAGCATGATAATTTCAAATGGAACATAGCTTTCCGCAATTGGGCAATTACTCATTCATACTATACACTGGGTTCTTTGTTTTATGCTTGTTGGTGTTTTATGCTTGTTTGGGGGAAGAAAAGTGTCTGTGAAATTATTACTCTGAGTTTTAGCTTTTTAAAATGAGAGGTGCCTTTTAGAAATTTTGTTCACTGCTATCTATTCTAAGAAAAGGAAAGCAGAGGCTCTCTAAAGATTATAATCATAGAAGAAAGAATTATTCAACCTGAATAAAGAATATCAACTGAGTGATCTCTCGTCTTTTACATCTGTGAGTGACCTTAGAGAATTGCTACTAAGAAGCAAACTGAAGGTATCTTTTCAAGATGTTCTCTTGTGATGCATGTTGCCTTACTGTTAGGCATTTCAGCTTTCATCCCATTGTTGGAATATAAAATAGGTTTAGGCATGTTTATTTTATACCTAGTCTTTTAAGAATTAAGTTGGACTATTAGCTAAAGGGAAACAATTGCACATGTTTTTGAAAAGATGGGATTGAAGATAGCATTCTTTTTCTTAGTTAATGAACTGTGATGCTGGAGCATTATTATGAAGAGTCAGTATTTTTAGAAAAAGAGGAGTGAGATGATCATCTGATTTAAGAACCTCCACTCGGCTGTTAACAAGAATATTTTGTTTGGCCCTTGAGTAGGCAGCTTGCCAGTCCTCTCTGTCAGCTGTTAATTGTAGTTAACTATTTTGGAACATGAGGGTAATTAGTAGTGTGGAATACTGATTTGGGAATTTAGAATATCTCTAGATTTTTAGTAAATTCTAGAGTGCAAATAAAAGATAAATGTTTCATATTTTCAGTGGGACAACAAGCCCTTATAAATAAATTTACCTCCTCAAAATAACCTTTTATTAGTATAATAATCAGAAAAATAGAATTAAAAAGTTATGAAAGAAAACCTGAAAATAACTTGCCTCGACTACTTTGTCAAAAATGTTTTGTTTTATGTTTGGTCATCTGCTTTCTCTCCCTTTACATTTCCACAGGAGACTTTGTATTTCAGCCTCCTTAATTGACACTGACAAAACTGCCAACCATGGCATTTCCTAGAGCCTTGGCCCTTTTCTGTCAGGATGAGCTATGGACCTCAGTCTTTTGATATGTGCTTCTCCTTTTATTTGAAAGGGAAAATAACTGCCCCTGTCCTGGCTTATTTTTAATTAAATATCTTAAACCTCTATTATTTAAAATTTATCAGAGGAAGGAAAATTAAATGCTTTTATAAACTGATAATACTGGTTATTATATATATACCAGATGGTTCATAACTGGCATTAAAATGCTTTGTATTTTACTGTAGGTGTTTCAGTATCTTAATAGTTTAAATTTTGGTAGAATTTTTTTTGAGCCATTAGTAGGGTAATAGAAAAACTAAAAAAGTAACTTTAGGCTAATTGTATTGGTAATTACAGTGAAGCATTGATATATGAGCATCCAAATATATTACTCTGAGCATTTAAAATACATAAATTTTTATTATAATCTAAGAGCATTTTCCATTGGAAATAGATTATTTTAAATTTACATTTTCTTTTTCTTTCTACAGGAAGGAACTTGAAGCCTTCAAAGGTAATTTTGTGTTTAATTCTTCACTTTAAAGTAGATGAGAGTTAATTGATGTCAGATGTTCTTTCTTAATGATGAAAGAACTCATTCCTTTTTCTTTAAATTAGTTTACATCAAAAAAAGTTTGCTTAATATTGTTTTGCTAGTTTTATTTAATCACAAGTGGTTTTGATATTCTCTTTTAGCTATAACATATGTGCCAAGTGAGAGTTTCTACTGATGACCATTATGACTCATATGTTAGGATGGCACAGCGCTAACTTTGAGATTGTTGAGAATCATAATTTTAAAAGATTCTGCTTTCTGTTGTGCGAACTCTGGACCACAGGACAGGGTGTGGTGATAAAGGTAGAGCTGTAACACTGCAGTTGACCCCACAGTTACTTAAACCTGCTGAGAGGTGTTCAGTGCTGAGTCCTGCCCTGCCCCTATCTGGAAACATAGGAGATAAGTCTCTTACATTTTTCAGGCTCAGTTTTTCGATCTGTAAAATTAGAAACTCTGATGAACTGTATTCTGAGATACTAAAAGCATCCAGCATTGCTTTTTAATTTTTAAGATACTCCTGTAGGGAGAGCACTGAAGAATTCTTGGTTGTGTTGACCCTTACTAGTTACGGAGAAACATAGTGAAAACCATACACTTTCTAAGCAGCTCAAAGCCCTTCCAAGTTGTTGTTTTTCAGTTACTCTTCAGCTAATCACTATTCTCAGAGAGACTCATTTCAATTATATTTGAATATAAACTAGTATTGATCTTTAGATTTACTGAATCATTAAAGATTTTCCAGTATATCATTTATAGTTGAATTTGTTTATTTAAAATACATTTTATTGATTGTGCTATTACAGTTGTCCCATTTCTTTTCTCCCTTTTATCCCCTCTCCACTCCCCTCCCACCAGCATTCCCCTCCACTTAGTTGATGTCCATGGGTCGTACATATAAGTTCTTTGGCTTCTCCATTTCCTACACTATTCCTAAACTCCCCCTGTCTATTTTGTACCTACCATTTATACTGCTTATTCCTTGTACCTTTTCCCCCATTCTCCCCTCCCCCACAGTGGTAACCTTCCATGTGATCTCCATTTCTGTGATTCCATTCCTGTTCTAGTTGTTTGCTTAGTTTGTTTTAGTTTTTGTTTTTTAGGTTTGGTTGTTGATAGTTGTGAGTTTGTTGTCATTTTACTATTCATAGTTTTGATCTTCTTCTTTTTCTTAGATAAGTCCCTTTAGCATTTCATATAATAAGGGCTTGGTGATGATTAACTCCTTTAACTCGACCTTATCTGGGAAGCACCCTATCTGCCCTTCCATTCTAAATGAAAGCTTTGCTGGATAGAGCAATCTTGGATGTAGGTCCTTGTTTTTCATGACTTGGAATACTTCTTTCCAGCCCCTTCTTGCATGCAAGGTTTCTTTTGAGAAATCAGCTGATAGTTTAATGGGAACTCCTTTGTAGGTAACTGTCTCCTTTTCTCTTGCTGCTTCTAAGATTCTCTCCTTATTTTTAATCTTGGCTAATGTAATTATGATGTGCCTTGGTGTGCTCCTCCTTGGGTCCAACTTCTTTGGGACTCTCTGGACTTCTAGACTTCCTGGAAGTCTATTTCCTTCACCAGATTGGGGAAGTTCTCCATTATTTTTTCAAATAAGTTTTCATTTTCTCGCTCTTCCTCTTCTCCTTCTGGCACCCCTATGATTCAAATGTTAGAACATTTGAAATTGTCCTGGAGGATCCTAAGCCTCTCCTTATGTTTTTACATTCTTGTTTCTTAGTTCTGTTCTGGTTGAATGTTTATTTCTTCCATCTCCTCCAAATCGTTGATTTGAGTCTTGGTTTCCTTCCCCTCACTGTTGCTTCCCTGTATATTTTTCTTTATTTCACTTTGCATAGCCACCATTTTTTCCTCTATTTTGACCATACTCAACTATTTCTGTGGGCATCCTGATACAAGTGTTTTGAACTCTGCTGAGCAAGTGGCATTGTTCCCTTTCTGACCCTGCCCCCCCACATACAGCTCCACAGTTCAGCAAGGTGGGTTGCCCCACCCTGGTGAATACCTAAGGCTTTGTTCCTTACTATGTAACCGGCCCACCAAGACAAAAAAAAATGGCCCAAACAACTAAGTGACGAAGAGGTAGCAAGCCTATCAGATGCAGAGTTCAAAACACTGGTAATATAGTTGAATTGTTTATGTATGTAATCTGTTTAGGTGTTTTAGAAAGAATAACTAACACTCAAGATAAAAGGTACAAAGGCTTATTTCTGCTCTAATATTGAACAGACTTGTTTTGGCTAGATTTGATTTAACTGACTGTAGTTATAGTACATGATTAAGTTCATGTCCAGTTTGTTGAGGAAGTGTTAAGTGATCATGTGATATAATATATTATCATGGCTGTCCTTATTCTTAATCAATTTGTGAACCATGACTCATGTACATTATTTTTTATCAGTGGTTTGAAATCCTCATAAAATGATCTTTTTCCTCTCATTCTTTTACTCACCTAACATCTTATATTACATTAGAAGAAGAAAAAAAATCAAGTTAATATTAAAAGATAGGTTGGGACACTGATTATGCAAAAATGTCAGGTTGCATCTCAGTACTCAGGTGTTTTTGGTTTTGTTTTTGTATGACAGTATTCAGAGAAAAAGAAGAGACCAGCAGTTTGCAAAAGGTTAGGTAGTGTTACGTATTACCCAGTAGAATAATTCAATTTATGCTGATATATCTTGTTTATACATACATTCTTTGTTATGTACATCATTTAACAATACATCCAACCCACTCATAGACAATTAAAATTTTCCAGTTTGAACAAACTGTAAATTGATTGTTGTATCATACCAAGGTTTTTTAATTATCAGTATTCATTAAAATTCTTTCCTCTTGAATGTTATACTAATGTTTTAAAAGCATGTAATAAAGAAGAACTGGAACTGCTCTTCTAAGACTTTATGTAGAAAAAAAGAAAAAATTCATTCAAACAAATTGTAACAATTTCTTTCTGTATGTCATTGTCTTTACCTTTATTTTTCTTTATAACATTGCAGGAAAACAAAAGGCACTACTTTCTCTGATTGTTTTATTTAATTTGTAGTTTTACTTGGAAGATCTTTTCTAAGTTGGTGAAAAATTAACTTTTGGGGACAAAAATACAAAATTAGTAACCTTCAAAGTTAGTAATATAGGTCAGTATCATCCAACAAGTTCTGGATTCTTCTATCTGCCATTGAAGTTAATTAGTTAAGTTTATCTTTCACTTGTGGCACATTGTAGCAGATCTCTGTAATATTATTGAAACTAGTTATTGCTTGTTTGGTTAATACTTGTAGGAGAAGGGTTTTCTATGTTTTGAGGACACTGCATTCTTTTAAACTTTCTACTGATAGTCACTTGAATAATAGACAATATAAAAAGGAGGGTAGGATCTTTAAAGTCTTAATTTTTATTTTCAATAAGGAATGAATTCCATTATTATAAGGATATGTAGAATAAATACAGGCTTACCTCATTTTATTGCTCTTTACTTTATGGCTCTTAGAAGATAATGCATTTTTTACAGATTGAAGGTCTGTGACAACCTTGTGTTGAACACATCTACTGGAACCATTTTTTTCAACATTTGCTCATTTTGTATCTGTCACATTTTGTAATTCTCAAAGTATTTCAAGATTTTTCATTATTATTCTATTTGTTATGATGATCAATCAGCAGTGATCAATATTGAGGCAAGACATCAGCAAAATGATTACAACTTGCTGAAGGCTTAGATGATGGTTAACACTTTTTTCAGCAATAAAGTATTTTTAAAATAAGATAGGTACATTATTTTCTTAGACATATGTAATTGCACACTTATTAGACTACACTATAATGAACATAGCTTTTATATGCACTGGGAAGCTAAAGAATTGTGACTTGCTTTATTGCAATATTCACTTTGTTGCAGTGGCCTGGAATTGAGCCCACAATACCTCTGAGGTATGCCTGTAAGTTTTTCACACTCCTTAAAGACATGGGAAATTGGCCATGAATAGACATGTCTGTCGTTTAGGGATTGTCCATCATTTTTCCACTTTTATTTTTAAAATAGATTGCCCACGTATAAATCTTAAAATCACTCTTAAGATTGTCATTGTAAGTGTAGAAATACTGTACGGCTGAAAAGAGGTAGAGGTAAGGAGATCTAAGATTGGATATTTTTCTTACCTCTGTAAGATTCCTGACTTAAACATGGTTTTAATATGAAGACTTGCTCTTTACTCTTCCCTTAAATGCCTTACCAAATTTAACTGTCATTCTCCATTTCTCTATAAAACATACTGACAGCCCTAACATGCTGAATGCTTGTGGCTCCTAGGCTACTCATATGTACATCTAAATATTTTTTGTTTCCACCAGCTGCATTGAATGCTTAGTTGTGTTTGCTCCCGAACTCATTTATACTTGTTATTGTTATATAGTTTAATTAAGTATCAGATATAATGATGAAACCTCAGTATTAAGGAGAACTATAAGAAAAACTAAGTTGACTGCTTTGGAAGATTTAATATAAGTAGCTTTAAAAATTGATGTAAACAGTATAATTAAAAATTAGAAAATATTTGGGGAAAATAAAAATCCTGAAAGAGTCTGTACACAGATCATTTCACATCTTAAATTCCTGCTCTGCTTTTAAAAAATAGACTGGAAATTTTATCCACTGCACTATGGGTTGCTTATGCAAGAATTTTCAAAATCAGTAGGCCTGTACTTAAAGAATTAATGAATAACAAGTATGGTTATACTTTAAAGTATTTTAATGAATTTCTATATTAACTTTTTAAAAAATTAGATGAGCAACATGAGATCCAGTGGGATCATATAAGGGAATGTCCATTGTAATCTCATTAATATAAAAACACCCAGCCATGTAAGAAATGTAACTTGCTGGGGTGAAAACATGCTAGGATTTAAGAATTATCACTGTCATCACAAGTTGATCATCATGGGAA